ACAGGCAGAAAGAATCACACTGTGCTTCGACTTCTGTCAATTCCGAATCAAGAGAAGTGTGCCCCACCCTAGCAGAAAGTGTTCTCTTGTGTGCCAGTGAATTTTACTCCATGGAAGAAAGAGGCCACAGTGGAGACTCAATTCTAGTGGTGGTGGGGGGAGCTTCCCAAGCTGTTTCCTTGGACTGTTAGCCATGACGAGCTTAGATGACTTGTGAGGTGGCATCTGTGGGGCCTTCTCTCCCTCAGGTACTGTTTGATACTTTTCCCTTGTAAAGCTCTATTATAGAGTGAGTTATTTAATGCTTTTGTTGTAAAGCATGCCCCAGATTGTTTTCATTGACACTAACTTGGGTAGCAGCTAGAATTGAGAATGCCACTTGGGAATCTACATGAAGGAACAGGAAGATCTTATTGAGAAACCCGAACCCCTGCATCAAAATTATACCAGGTCAGGCCTAAGCTTTCAAGTTCCCATCCCAGACCTGTAGAATAGGGACCTGGGTTCAAAGCTTGGGATCTCTCTCTCTCTCTCTCTCTCTCTCTCTCTCTCTCTCTTTCTGTGTGTGTGGATGTGTGTGTGGATATGTGTTGATGTGTGATGTCTATGGGTGTCTGTATGTGTGAGTGTATGTTTGTGTGTGTAAGGGTGTATATGTGTGTGGATATGTGTGAATGTGATGTGTGTGTGTGTGTGTGATGTCTATGTTTGTATATATGTATGTGTGTGTGATATGTATATATAAGTGTGTGTATTTGTGTGTGTCTGTGGGTGTGTGTTGATATGTGTCTGTGTGTGTGTATATGTGTCTCTGTGTGCACACACACACATACATGTGACTAGGAACTGAACCTTGTGCATTCTAGGTTCTACCACTGAGCTATACCTCCCACTCTTTTTACTTTTTATTGAGACAGGGTCTTACTCAGTTGCCCAGGTTGTCCTTGGACTTCTGTAGTTGAGAGTATCATTTACTTTTCTGTTGCTGTGATAAATCACTGCAAGCAAGGCAGCTGGTAGAAGGAAGGGATTTTTTTGTTATTTGTTTTTGGCTTAGAAGTTTCAGAGGGAGAATCCACAATGGTGGGAGACCCATGGCAGCTGACAGCCAGAGCAGGAAGCTGAAAGGTCATAGTCTTCAACTCTCAAACATAAAGTAGAGAGTAAACTGATAGCAAGGGCAGGCCCCAACTCTCAAACATAAAGTAGAGAGTAAACTGATAGCAAGGGCAGGCCCCAACTCTCAAACATAAAGTAGAGAGTAAACTGATAGCAAGGGCAGGCCCCAAAGTCCACCCTTCAGTGATGCACTTTCTCCAGCAAGGCCACACCATCTCTCAAACAGTGCTACCAACTAGAACCAAGTGTTCAGATACCTGACCTTTTAGGGGACAGTTTTATTCAAACCACTACACTCAGGCGGTGGTCCTGTGATCCTCCTGCCTCAACTTTCAGAGTAGTTGACACATCAGATGTGTGGCACCAGCCTCCAGACCTGGCTAAGGAGATCTGCATTTTGACTGCTACCCAAAGGAAAGATGGTTCTTTCGAAAAAGTTTTTCTATTGTGGTAAAATATATGTAACAACAACAAAAAAATCTACCACTTTAACACGTTATTTGCTTCTCTTCCTAGTTCTAGGACAGAATCAAGCACGTGCCAGGCAAGGACTTGACCACTGGGCTAGATTCCCAGCTCTCTGTCCATTTTCCATGTTTTTATCAGTGTATATTAATTATTCATACTTCTATATTTTTATTTGTGTGTGGGCAGGTGTTGTACATTTGTGAAATCTGAAGATAGCTTACGGGAGTTAGTAATCTATGTCTACTGTATGGGTTCCAGGACTGAACTTGGGACATCAGATTTAGTGGCAGCTGACTCCAGGTGCTAACCATTTTTAAGAGTAAAGTTCGATAGTAGCAAATCTGTTCACAGTGTTGTCTAACCATCACCACCGTCCATCCCCAGAGTGGCTTTGTTTCTGAGACTAAAACTCTTTAAACCCATCCATCACCCTTGGCAAGGACACTCTGCTTTTTGTCTTGAGGAGTTTGACAAGTCTGGTTGGTGTCTTTTTTTTTTTTTTTTGTTTTTTGTTTTTTTTTTGTTTTTCGAGACAGGGTCTCTCTGTGTAGTCCTGGCTGTCCTGGAACTCACTTTGTAGACCAGGCTGGCCTCGAACTCAGAAATCCGCCTGCCTCTGCCTCCCAAGTACTGGGATTAAAGGCGTGCGCCACCACAGCCCGGCCGTCTGGTTGGTGTCTTATAGGTGAAGTCGTATTTGTTTGTTTATGTTTCTTTCCCTCTAATCCTTGTTTCTTGTCTCCTTGTCCAGCTCAAGCTGCCTTTGATTTAAGATCTTTTTGCTCAAGGTTTCTTGATTGCTTGGATTACAGGTTTGAGCCACCAAGCTCAGTTTAGTAGTGTGTGTGTGTGTGATTTTTTTTTTATTTCACTTAGTACAATGCTCTCGGTGTTTATTCAAATGGCACAAGTCCTAATTTTACTCATCTTAAGGCAGAACATTGTTGTACTCCGTGTACAGAATACATTTTGTGTCTCTATCCATCCATCCATGAATGATCGTTCTTTCTACCTTTGGACTGTGTCACAGGCCTGTGAATGCTGGTACCTCTTGATTCTCTCAGGCTCTGTTTCCACTTGTGCTGGCTCCAGTGGTAATTCTTTTCAATTTTTTGAAATGTTTCCATGCCATTTCCTCAGTGACTGCTACTTCACATCACCCCTAGCAGTGACCTGCCAAGGGCTCTTCACTAGATGTCTTTGCCAACATAGCCCTCCACCCACTATAAATGGCTCTGGTTGACTTGCTTTTGTAAATAGGAAGCTTGATAAGAAAATGCTAGTTTGCTAACATCTGTCTAATGTCAACCAAGCAGACGTATTCAGGTGGTAGAATCCAGATGCACTGTCAATGACTCAGGGGAGCGACTGACACCGGTAGTGTGGACATGAGGAGAATCCACTAGTGTTCTGAAGGATGTTGCCAATGCAGTTGATATCAGTGCTACATTTTGTAGGGGCCCTGTACTGACATTTGCTCAATCTAGGGACTAGCTAAAAATAAGAAAAAATATATAACCTTAATAATTTTTAGGGTAGGATGGGTCTTCTAATCACAAGTCAAAGATTCTGAATTGAGAAGTGGTAGAAACACATATAAGAGCAAGGTTTGTTTGTTTGTTTATTGTTGTTTTGAGTGAGACAGGGTTTCTCTCTGTAGTCCTGGCTGTCCTGGAACTTGCTCTGTAGACCAGGCTGGCAGAGAACTCACAGAGATCTGTCTGCCTCTGCTTCGCAAATGCTAGGAGTAAAGGTGCAAGCCTGGCCTTTTGCTTTGTTTTCCTTTTCTTTTTGTTTCTTTTTTTATTTTATTTTATTTTTGTTTTTCGAGGCAGGGTTTCTCTGTGTAGTCCTGGCTGTCCTGGAGCTCACTCTGTAGACCAGGCTGGCCTTGAACTCAGAAATCCTCCTGCCTCTGCCTCCCAAGTGCTGGGATTAAAGGCGTGCGCCACCACTGCCCAGCTTCTTTTTGTTTCTTTTCTTCTCTTCTTTTCTTTTTAAAAGACAATGTCTCATTATATAGACCAGGCTGGCCTCAATGCGAAGAGATCCATCTGCTATTGCTTCCTGAGTATTGGAATTAATTTTATTTATTTATTTATTATTTTTTAAAGATTTATTTATTTATGTATATGAGTACATTGTTACTGTCTTCACACACATGAGGAGCGGGCATTGGATTCTCATTACAGATGGTTGTGAGCTGGGAATTGAACTCAGGACCTCTGGAAGAGCAGTCAGTGCTCTTAATCACTGAGCCATTTCTCTAGTCCCTGGGATTTATTATTATTATTATTATTTATTATTTGTGTGAATAGATAGATAGATAGATAGATAGATAGATAGATAGATAGATAGATAGATAGAACCAAAGTATTACCATTTGCCTATAGAATTCAGAAGGCCACGTGTAGGAGTTGATACGGGAGTCAATACTATTCTTCCTGTGTGGGTCCCAAGGATTGAAATTTGGTCTTCAGGCTTATGCAGGAAGTGCTTTTACCTACTGAAGCCATCTCACTGGCCAGATGGACCCTTTAAAATGCATTTAAAATTTTTCTTCTCTGTCTCTGTCTCTGTGTGTCTCTCTCTCTCTCTCTCTCTCTCTCTCTCTCTCTCTCTCTCTCTCTCTCTCGTGTGTGTGTGTGTGTTGTGCATGCTGTAGAGTCTAGAAGAGGGTGTCAGATCCCCTGGAATTAGAGTTGCAGGTGGTTGGTTGTGAGCCGCCATGTAAGGTTTGAGTCAGCATCTCTGGAAGGACAGCAAGTGCTCTTAACCACTAAGCCATCTCTACAGCCCTTAGTGCATTTTGTTTAGGCACTCTTCCCAAGATATAAAACATATTTTGGGAAGCAACTCACTCTGAGTTTCTCACAGTGCATATTTCATAGGTATTCAAGATACCCATACCTTCTGGAGACTGTGTTTTTACACAGAGTCACTCAAACTGAGTTCTCCCAGTCACTCGACACTATGGGCTCTTAGGTATTTTCACAGTGTGTGCCTTGGGTCCTCCCTTGGAACGGGCCTTCCCTTATAACTGGTCCATCCTTTGGACCTTGGTGTTCTGGAAGAACTGATCACATGTCAAGCTTGACCATTTGAATTTGATCCCCAGACACACATGGTAGAAGTAGAAAGCCAAGTGCCAAAGTGGCCATGAAATTGTTCCCATACACATATCCTTCTTGATTTCCACTCTCCTCCTTCCCTCCCTCCTCTCTCTCCTCCATCTCCTTCCTTCCTCTTCTTCCTCCTCATTCTCCTTCTCTTCCTTTTCTTTCTTCCTTCTCTCCTCTTCCTCCTCCTCCTTCTCCCTCCTCCTCCTCCCTCCTCCTCCTCCCTCCTCCTCCTCCCTCCTCCTCCTCCTCCCTCCTCCTCCTCCTCCTCTTCTTATTCTTATTCTTATTCTTCAAAATATAGACCACTTTACAAGTTTGCCAGTCATCCTTGTAAAGAGCCAAGCTAATTTTCTCTATATAACCCTGAATTTACCATATGAGTTCCTATAGTAAACACTTCTCTAGATTTTCTTAACACTCCCAGGGGCTATTGCTTTTTAATTTTTTTATTTTTTTACTTTTTTTTTTTTTTTTAAAGGTTTGAGTGAAGCCAGGCACAGTGGCACATGCCTTTCGTTCTAGCACTTTAGTGGCTGATCTCTGGGTTGATGCTAGCCTAGTCTGCAGAGTGTGTATCTGAAGAAGAAGGAGGAGGAGGAGAAGGAAGGAAGGAAGGAAGGAAGGAAGGAAGGAAGGAAGGAAGGAAGGAAGGGAGGGATAGAAGAAGAGAAGGAAGAGGAGAGAAGAGGAGGAGAAGGAAGGAAGAGGAGGAGAAGAAAAAGAGGAAGGAGGAGGAGCAAGTTCAAGTAGAATTCATATAATATAAAATTAAGCTTTTTTAAAAAATTATTTATGCTGGGCAGTGGTGGTGCACACCTTTAATCCCAGCACTTGGGAGGCAGAGGCAGGCGGACTTCTGAGTTCAAGGCCAGCCTGGTCTACAGAGTCAGTTCCAGGACAGCCAGGGCTACACAGAGAAGTCCTGTCTCAAAACACCAAAAAAAAAAAAATTATTTATTTTCTTCATGCATGTGCACACACTATGGTCATAGGACAACATGTGACTGTGCCCAGTTCTCTTCTACCATGTGGGTCCCAGACATTAAGTTTAGGTCATCAGTTTGGTGGCAAATACCTTTACCCACTGAGCCATCCTGTGGACCCAAAATAAACATGTTGAAGTGTATAGTTCAATAGCGTTGTCTAGGAACACCTTCTAATAAGTTCTCTTTCTACAGAGTCCAATGCCACACCTGGGGGAAGACTCCAAATATCAGGAGATTCTCTGTCTACTGATCAAAGGCTCATCTTCTAGAATCCTTTCTAGATTGAGGAGCATCTTTTCCAGAGCACTGGATACCAGTAATAGCAGGGAGACATCTTTCAGAAAGACACATAGCACCACACACCCTACTGAGATTCTTTTCAGTGCACATTAGCTGTGTAATAGTGGATTTTAACATGATTTTATCATATAGGTATATGATGTATCTCTCTCCACTGGTTCTCTTCCAGAGATCCCTCTTTTATTTACATGCCTTTTCTTTTAAAAATCTGGAATCTGAATGTGATAGGAAGAATGTAAGATTTTGAACTTTTGGAGTCTGGCTTATTTCCCTTAACATGAAATCCTATTTCATCTATTTTCTTGAAAGTGGCAAAATTTTGTTCTTGAGAGTGGAGTAATACTCCTTTGTATGTGTATGTATACACAAATATACATACATGCATATGTACATATATGTATACACACATATAATATATACATGTATATACATGCATACTCATGTATATACATAAAACATACATGTACATATATACACATGCATACGCCCAGACACATACAGGTGGATGAGTGGAGATATATATATATATATATATATATCTGATTCTGTGGTATTGTTTACACCAATCCTCCAGAAGCAAAGCCTTCCAGAATACAGTGCAGTGGTGCCCCATTCAATATACACTTAGGAGGACAGGATTGGGGCCTTCCAGGCATCTCTTAAACATGCTAATTTTTTAGACGTTCACCTCTCTTAAGCATTTAGCACAGGGCTCCTGTAGTGTGGGAAGAACAGAATGTCACCTGGCCTGTCCCCTTCCTCCCCAGTGAAGAGCACCCACTCTGTTTCTCCCTGGAATGTATTCATGTACTCATTGGAAATGTGCTCTCGAGCGCTTGCTGTTTGCCAGGTATTATATTTGGTTTTGGACCTTGGTGACAAACAAGCATCTGCCCTCCCAGAGTCATGCTTGGATGACAACCTGTCGGGATCTCAGCTGTCAAGAGGAGGTAGTTATAGCTTTTGGGTGATCATCTGCTGTGGCCTCAGCCTTGCAGAGGAGCCTGTGGTTGGTTTTGATGTGGAGTGTGGCTGCTGAGGCGAGTTTGGGCCTGGCAACCCAAACAATGCTGGAAAGAGCATTGAGGTTTCTCTAGTTAAGCATGACTGCCACGTGAGGTGAGGTAATCACCTGCAGGGGGATGTACACTGGTCTTTAAAGATCAGTTTATTAGAGTCTAATGAAACAATTAGAAATAAAAACGGAGTAGTTGAGTTACTTCCTAACTTGGGCAGTAAAAGTCATAGTTCCTGAGAATTGCAGCCCTGTTCTGTTCTGAAATGGGTCAGAGAAGAACTTGGTCTGACCCCCACGCTCTCCTTCATCTGGTACATGAATTCCATTCCATCCTAACTCCCCCTTCAGTACACAGCTAAGTTTTTAAGTAAACACGAGAAACTCTGTTTTTCCCAGTTTAACTAACATGGAAATGTCTAATCCTCTTACTTTTTTTGATTTTGCAAACAAAGGTTTGTTGGGACAAAACTCGTTAAGTAGCCAGTCATCTGGACCAGGTATCCGTGTAGTGACCCTCAAGTGAAATCTGCTAGAACAGCCAATCAACGGCTTAAGACTGTCTCCTACACTGGTTTGCTTGGCTAATCTTCAACTACAGGTTGAGCAACTTTAGTGGAGACAGAGAATGCCGACAATCTCAGTCCGGAGGGAGCAGGCACTTCAGGTTATTACTAAATGTTCCACTCAGCCTTCAGATGCCCCTATTTTTAGCCCACGAGAGAAAATAAACCCAAAAGCCATAGACTATCCAGTACAATAGCCACATCTCACTATGGCTACTGACATATGGCTAAAGCAACTGGGCTGCTTAAAATTTATATTAATTTATTTTTCCTTTCCTTTCCTTTCCTTCCCTTCCCTTCCCTTCCCTTCCCTTCCCTTCCCTTCCCTTCCCTTCCCTTCCCTTTTCCCTTCCCTTTCCTTTTCCCTTCCCTTCCCTTCCCTTCCCTTCCCTTCCCTTCCCTCCCTCCCTCCCTCCCTCCCTC